AAAAAAAAAAAAAAAGAAAGAAAGAAAAAAAACAAAAGGAACAGGAAAACACAGAAAATCAATACATATTTTTTGGGACAACGGAAGATAAAAATAAAAAAGGTTCGGTGGGAGTGGCTCGGCGCCTTGAGATTTAGAATTGTTTGCTTTACCCTTGTTTATATTTCTGTTCATTGTGCATTGGTTTTTGGTTTTAACTGGATATAAAGATATACCTTGGATCTTCTTTTTGATTCCCCTACTGCTTTGTTTATGCTTTGCTTCTTCGGATATATTCCCCTGCTGTCTATATCAAACAAAAAGTTCAAATCAATATCAGACTATCTCATTGCTTTCTCATCAAAAACACAACCACATCGTCGAAAGGCTTCCACTCTACAAAATCATAAAAATTTTAGAGTTAGATCAGATCATCATTCGTAAACCGTAATACAGCTACCAAACCATATCTATGTTTTATCCACACACGCTCATAAACACAGACACCCAGACTTTTGTCGCTCCATGCAAATCCAGTAGAGAAAACAAATCAAGCAGCCCCCTCTCCCGCAAAATCCGCATTCAAGAACCTCACAAACGCATCCCCAACCTGGTCCGCCCCCATACTAGACTTAGTCCCCGCTAACCTGGCCACATAAGTTCGATTCAACGTAATCCACTGCCTCCTCAACCTCTGCAATCTGGGCACGGCCAGAATGCCCCCAGCACCACCCAGCTCATCCGTTGTCGCCGTCATCGCCACATGCGCCGGTATGAACACCGCCGTCTCCACCTCCGGCACGACAATCCTAATCCCATCCACATCATCCCCGGCCTTCGCCAACGCACCCTCCGCAGACGGATTCTCGACCACAAAACTCCGAATCGCAGACACCACCGCCGACGTCCGCTTCTCCATACTATAGAGAAGACCCGACTCAGTAGAAGTCGGCTGCACGGTTGCAAGGTGAGGCTTTATCTTCGGGCGTTCGCGGCGGAACGATCCCCCTCCTTTGGTTGTCGTCGAGGGCGCTATCGACGCGGCGGAGGAGAGGTGTGTGTTTGTGAGGGCTGACGTTAGGGTTGGTAGTTGGTCCGTAGTCTCGGTGGTTGTCTCGGGGTGGGCGATGCCTGTTAGAGCGGTCCAGATCTCGGCGATTGGGGGCTTTGCGTCGCTCCAGGGGACGGTGAAGAGGGGCTTGTCCCATCTGCTGTGCGTGCTTGGTTCTTCGTACCGGAAGATGAGGTTTTGGAGGAGGGCGGGCGGGTAGGGGTGTTCTGTGTCTGTGGTTTTCTCTGTGTCTGCAGCTGCAGCTGTATCGGTAGCTGACGTTGTGTCTTCGGTCTGAGGTTGGGGTTCAGAATCCGATTGAGGTTGAGTCTGAGACTGGCGATGAATCCGGGCCTCGTTATTCGCGACGCATTGATCAATTGGTGTTCCGACGTGAACCTGTTAGTATCCTCTTGTTAGCAATCTCGAAACACAGCGCAGGAACCTTATCGAAACAAAGTAGTACGGAGAAAGCAATGGAAGAGAGAAAGAACATACAACGCAACACGTCGTCCCCAAGGCCTTCGCCTCACACCATAGCTGATACCGATACCCCTTGATATAGTTCATGCCGTCGAGAATCACGAAACTGTCCTTCCCAAGCATGCGGCGCGCCCGCGTGTACGCCACGCCGCGGGCTTCCTTTTCCGTGCGCGCATGGTCGTAGACGGTGCGCGGGCGGTTTTCATCATGCGTTGATACAACATGGATTTTGTAGGGCGGTTTCTCGGACTCGGCGAACACGGTCTCTTGGGTTTCTTGGAGGCCAGCTGCGAGCTGGTTCGCGCGGTGAGTTAGCCCCGAGCAGGGGTAACCGGTTAGGATTATGAGCTGTTGTCAATCAAGGGTGGGATTGTTAGTCTGTGGAGAGAAGGGCGGCGTTGTAAGAGGAGGGGTTTGCTTACAGGCATTTTTGGGGGAGGGGGGAGAGTTTGGTGTTTGTTGGAGGTGGTGGCTTTGGAGGGGGATTTTTTTGGGGGGATTTTTTGGCGTTGCGGAGTGCGGGGCACATGTGACTTGTTTTATCGGTATCAGTGATAGGATTTATATACATGCACGCGTGGAATTTTAGAATTGGGCCAGAAGGTTGTTGTGTTCTGAACGGTTTTATTTTCTGAAGATTATGTAGCTTATTTTGATGCTATTGGGTTAGAATTGTTCCCTGGATTATGTGTGGTGTGGTTGGTTTCTTAATACTTTGCTTTTCTGGTGAGAAGTAAATCTACTGGTATGCGCTGCTCGATTGCTGCGGACAGGGATCGTCAGAATGTTATACCCATCGTCTGCTATCTTGAGAATTAGCACTATTTGTGCAAAGGATATATTACTCAGAATTCTTCTTTATGAGTCAATTGTGTAGAGTTTGAGCAGCTTGGTATAACCGCCAAGAGGAACGACAGGAAGCATAGAGGATGTTGGCACATGGCACTTGCGACTTTATCGGATATCAGTCTGTTAGGGTGCTGATCTACTGCAGATCACGAGTGGATCTAGAGTACCTAAAATGGTGTATTGAAAACATAATTGAACAAACGAGTAGATCAGGATCAATCCTGACTAGACTAGTTGCTGACATGTGGTGGATATACTTAGTACTGTTGAGTGACTGGACTAGAGAGTCGGCATTTCCACCTCAATACTAGCTGAACTTGCTTTCCAACGTGCAGATGAGATTGACACGATATATGTCTTTGGTGATCGTTACTGACAGTTGAGCTGTTCAATACATAAGTGATCGTTAACATGCCGAGGAGCCATTGCCATGTTGTAGCCTCGGGTCATTCGTGGTGATGGCTGGAGTCTCAGGAAATTGTCGTAAGGGCTTCCGCTTATAAGCCAAGTTCATATGGTCAGAGTTTGCCAGCGGAGAAATATAAACATCTAATAAGCAGCCGGCTGTCGGAGTTAACGCTCCATTGGCAACACTTTCACATGGGATTGTCCGAGTTCTAGAATCTCTCCAACCATAGGACATTGCTTGGCAGGTGCTGGCGTACCATCATATCTTACCACGGTACTCCATACAATGACTGCGTTTCACATTCAACAATGTTGGTGGAGGCACCATACTCGAGGTGGAATGATTGGTGCATGATGTTGCTCTAGTTTCGGTATTCATCCACTACGGTGAACTCGTCCTCGGCTTTAACTTGTCAAAGTACCACCAACAAACGCAGCGATTGCAGTCCATTGACCAACTAGCATCGCAGCGGATCGAGAAAGCAACTCTCTGCCTCCACCTTCGGCTCCTCCCCGGATCTCCTTTACCGAGGACGGGCAAATCGGCCGATCACCAGACATGCCAGGCAGCAGCGTAAGTCACAGATGGCCAAGCTTCAGCCACAATAAACGGACAAGATCCGTAGCGAATCAGATACCATCGGTTGCGGCAAGCATACGACGCTTTATAGGGCGAAGCCGCGTAGTTTCCGGAGTGACAGATGAGGCTCCGAGATGCAGGAGCCAATCGGAAATGGTACGGGTTAAAGCATTGTTATCCATCAGATGGAGCCCACCGGACAAGCGATTGTGCCCCATTCGTGCGCCGGTGCTGGCTATCTGTCATCTCTCCGTTGGAGCAAGCTTCGGCAGATCAAGTGGGGACCGCTGAGTGGCTGATTGATGACGACCAGGCTTACGAGTTAGTGGGAACGTTCTGGAATACCTGTATGTGGGTTATTGTGAAACTTGCATATCTCCAGCTCATCGTATTTTATTGTGTTTGTATTGTCCTTGCTCGGAGAGGTGTGGATTGGGCAGTTTGGGATTGTCTTGGTTCCATGGGTTGCCTGGGAGGAAATGTTTCATCGTGTGGTTCTTTTCTTGGGGTGCTGTGTTTTCTTATGCATTGCAGTGGGCAGGACTGGGACCACCTGGTATGTAGTGGCTTGTTGAATGGACTCATGGGGTTCTAGAATGGCTGACGTGGGATTCTGCAGATGCACCCTCAGAACTCTAAGACGCAAGGCTACAGGGTAGCATTTCTATTTATTTATAAGACAAAATAGCAAGCATCTTCTATAATTAGAAGTCCTCGATGGTCTAACGGTCATGATTTCCGCTTGTCATCTCATACGAGAACAAGCGCGGGAGACCTGGGTTCGACTCCCAGTCGGGGAGATTCCTTTTTTACGACTTCTAGTCGTCGTTTTTTCCATATTTGAACATTCTTTGTCGGGGATGGAGAGGCAAACAACCAATTGTGAAGGAAACTTTCGTCCATGATGGCCACAGCCAACGGGCTGTCAGCCATGGATCCTCTCTGTCAAGTGAGCAACATGGGTGAAACTGTTTTAGACTCATGTCACCTAATATAAAAATTCCCCGTAACGATCATGCATGATTACGGCATTGCACATACGCAGACGAACGAGCCCATGGGGGTCCTCTCAAGCGCCAAATGTGCCGTGATCGGCGAACTCAAGTTAGTCGACGGTTTAATTCTCCAATGAGCAATCACCAGGTCAACGCGCGCGAAAGTCAGTGGGAGAGATGTCGCCATTGATGGGCTGAACATCAGCCGCCAGGAGCGATTGCATTACCCAAAATAGTGGGTAATGACGAACCTTGTAGACGGCGGACGCCGAAAACTTTCCTTTGCGTGCAAATCCATACATTTTATATTTTCCGCACTAGGGAAAGAAGGGGTTTAGTCCCTTTAGTTGTCTGGTTGAATTCGGGTCGTTGTAGCCAATCTTAGGGCAGGTTGCGCACATGCCGGGAGGAGGCCAAGAAACGATCCACATCCCTTGTGGCTGTGGGGGTCCGCGATGAAATCATGACGAGCAAGTTTCAGAGTGGCTGATTGAGCGCTAAGGCGTTAGGGGCAAAAGTGGACAGGGTCATTGGTTACAGAGAGATTATTTTTACCGACACTGACCCAGTCCAGGAATTTTTTTCATCGAAGCTTCCCGTATGGAGCATGTATCACGTTACTCAGGGCTGGGACGGATGTATGCATAATTGTACCACCTTCGTTTGCAGACCTCAGGACTCGGTCAGAGGGTATTTGTAGAGGTGGGTGTGTATGTGTATGATGCCAGATACTTCGCAAATGAGACAACGAATTCCATCATTCCGAGCCGAATGGTGGGTGTGCCCCGTGTACCTGGAGCCTTGCCAGTCAATTCGAATCGAAGGGTACAGGTGGCTCTAACTCGCATCCTTATTGCGCGAACTCCCGCGCTTCCGATGGAATGAGGCCCCCAGTGGATTGTGGTCCCATCTCCTGTTTGGTATTGTTCATGATTATTTTGGGTTTCCCCTTACTATTCATTTGGCATTCTCCTTCCTTACCCGTCTAGAAACCACTCCTCAAGATAGATCACACTCTCTGGAACTGCCACTACACTGTCCCACCATGTACCACCTTCTCGGAGACTCGTTCTCTGCCCATGTTTCAACTGGAACCAGATTTTGCGATGGATCTCAGTCATTATCAATCTGTTCCGTGGCAGACGGGCTGCCAGCCGCCACGTCGGCCAATGAACACCGGTCGGGTCCCCCAAGGCAACCGCCGACGTTACAGAGCAAGATCTCATAGATTAAAGCCGATTATTTCATTGTATGATCCAGAGAAAAATGCGAAACAGTCCCAGGCGGTTAACCCCGCGGACATGTCGTCTGTCGACGTGACTGTCGATGTCATGACTTGCTGAAGACAAGCAAATCATGTTAGAGATCCTAAAAGAAATAGTATGAAAACAAAATAACCATTAATAAAAGAAACTAAAAATGACAGAAACAAGAGAAAATCAGAGGACAAGAACGAGCGCATACATATTAAGAGACTTGCAGAGACCGTTCCGATACGGATCCGTACATACATCAGCCGTACCAAAATACCGATCCAGTATTGAGCCACTCACTAACAATGCGCTGAGTGAACAGTTCCACTTTCCCTCCTTTAGTCTTTTTTCCAATGGCTGCTATAATTATGTCTTAACCCCCAGCCCATCCCTACGCTGGTATCAGACGAACCGTCTGACTCGGCTTGGTTGGGCTGAGAATTTTCAATCGCATACTTCATACCATCACTCCTCCTACTATTATTATCACTCTCCCTATCAACTATCGCTATCGCTATCGTTATCACCGACCTCCTTCGCTTTTCTATACATCACCACTCCATAGCTAAGAATTCCTTAATTCAGATATTTAATTGGAGCTTTTCGATCCCATCGACAAAGTTAAACAATGATGTTGACGTCCTCATCCTCCGACTCCTCTTCCTGTTCCAACAGTCCCATCTCGCAACATCCTCACCCTCAGGCATACTTCCCATCTCTCCCTCGTCGGAGGGAACCTGCAAAATGCCCTCGCTACTACTCAACTCCATTGCGGTCTGATTCCCCCGAATCAACCCCCCTTCAAATGTACGGCCTGGAACAGCGGGAGCCGTCGCTCTACGGGGACAGACCTTCCACGCTCCTGCGTCGATTCTCCCACGCCCTCGACGACATCAAAGAAGACTTCTCCCTTCAGCTGGACCCACGCAACACCACCGAGAAAATCCGCAGCAAGCGTCGTCAGTCCACCCTGATGCTGGACACCAGCGCCCCGGGTTCCCGCGCTGGCTCGATCTCGGGATCGGAGAGTCTAGCCGAAGCCCCGCGTGGCCGGCCTATGTCGATGATGTCGACCGACAACAGCTTCATTCCGCCGACACGGCGATTGAGTCGGAGACTGACATTGCTGGGCTTCCGGAAGAACCGGCTTCGCGGCGGCCAGGCGGCGAGTATCTCGCAGCCGAGTCTGATCGGATCGTCGACTCAGATGTAAACCTCAAGAACACAACATATAAACTCGCCAACCGACTCGCAATCGATAATCAACCTACACTCCTTTTTCTTTTCTAATCGCATCTCGGGCCATATTCCAAGCATTCCCAGCATCATTCCTTTACATTGAAAATTCTTGCGACTGTTTGACTGCATTCTTCATTGGAGTTCAGGAAAGGCGGGCGGTACCATCCTTCGATACCTTTCCATCTTAATATCCGGCCAAAAGTCATTCCTTAGCCTTTCCTTGTTATTTTGTACCTATTACCTATATCCTTTCCTTAACCTTTGCATTAGCTTGGTGTTGGGTGTCTGCATATCCTCCATGTCTTCTCTTTTTTACTTTTTTTTTTTTAATTTTTCGCTTTATCGTTTCCATCTTGCGTTGCCCTTGCATCGTACATGCATATACAGGTGATATATATACACCTCATCCAGAAGTATATAGGATCGAATTATATATCACATTTGACGAAAGAATCACCATTGATCGCAACATATCATCGCGTAATAATCCTTTATGACAGCAGGAGTAAACCAGGGGGTGAACCACCCCAAAGTCAAACCTCCTATTCCGCAAATTAAAGACCACAAACCCAGAATCCAAACTGAAATGAACCAAAACGATGTCTCACATCCGCCATCTCCTGAACACACCAACCCATCCCCCAGGAATAGTTTTAACCCACTATAGCTCTAGTATGCCTCCGGGCAACAAAATAAAATGAACACCCCCATCTCGGAAATTAAAATGACAAAAACCTATCTCCCAAGCTCCATCCCTCAACCCACTTTTTATTTAACAGACCCAACAACCAACCTAAAGTAAACAAAGGGGGGACGACAGAGGTCCGAACTAGCTTCAAAGCCTTCAAGAACTCTTGGAGCCACTATTGGCGGTAGTCGACCCTTAGTTATTTTACCCGGGGACCCAGTTTAAGCGATTTCTGTGCCTAGCAAGGCCGCTGACCCGATGCAATCTCCTAGCTAGCTTGTTAAAACTTAATCCTCTATTTTGATCCTTTTTTTTTTTTTTTTTCTGGCCTTGCCGATTCGGGTTCGCTTTGGGACGCCTTTTCGGGCTTAGAGTGGGTTGTGGCTTGTGCGAGGCTCTGTTTTGCCCTTCTGCCTTATTGCCTTTTTGTCTGCTTTTATTGGCGCGAGTACTTAGCGCTGCTTGGGTATGGAGACACGTGGGATGGGTTCTTGGTTCTTGGGGGCTTCTTCGTTTCGTTTTCTTTTTATGTTCGGGGGCGGGCTGGCTGGCTGGTGTTGGGGTTGGTTCTTTGGGTTCCATCTTCGGTGCTAACTAGTAGTAGACTAGGTACTAAGGTGCTAGCTAGAGGTATGTATGAACTGGAGTTCGTTGGTGATTGGTTTTTTGTATTACTTTGTTGTTGTTGCCTCGTGGACTGTAACTTAGTATCTATTACAGATACAGGTACAGGTACAGATACATAGTAGGCGAGGATCAATCTATCTGATCTATGCTGGGTTTATTGTATGTGTAATAATTTATATGGCTTCATTCATGAAACAGACTTCGTGTTCTTGCCCGATATCATTAACCCCCCCCCAAGTCAGCCAATTACAGACACTCTGGTATAAAGAAAGTAAAGAAACAGACACAAACGCCGGCCAGGTTCCATCCGCCCAAAAGTATAATCGCTCTAATCCGTACGAAAAAATAAGTGAAAATGGCTTCAAACAAACAAAGAAACACCCGTCCGCACAAAGAACCAAGAAGATAAAGGGGAGTGAAACTCATCCCCCACACCAAGAAATCGATGAATCAATCGATTTGGTCGCGGTTGTACCGGACCGATCCAACCATCCATGCCCGATCTAGACCAAGAGACAAGGAATAATCCTCTAGACAGAAAGACGAGACGAGACGAGACGAGACGAAACGTTGTCCTCTATACCATCACCATCACCATCACCATCATCTAACCAAAAAAACCCGACCACGATCTCAGGCTGTATGAGACGAACTTCGGCCCGATGCCCACGTCACACAAACCCCCCGTATAAAAACCCACACCTCCCGCAGGAGCGGCATCGCAACCAGATCTATAGCGTTACCGCCTCCAAATCCCGCATCATAACCGACATCTGGGCGCGCTTGGCCGCCTCCGCGACGAGGCTGAAGTCCCGCAAGAATGGCGCCGTAGCGGTCGGCCCCCCCGATCCGGACACCTGGTGCGGATAGCTTTCCATTGCATTCTGCTGTTGACCGCTGGCTTCTGGCAATTGGGACGGCTGCGTGTGGGGATGGTGCGATGCTGATCGCTCGTGTATGCTGGGTGCGGAGGACGGGATTGGTTGCTTGGGTGCGAGGCTGAGCGGGTTGTGAGGCTGAGGTGAGGTGGTGAGGAGCGGTTGTTGCGTTGTGGCCATGTTGTTATTGTTGTGGTTGTTGTTGCCTGAGATTTGTGCTCTTGGGTCCATTGTAGATGTCGGTGTATGGTGGATAAGTCGCTGCGTTGGGGGACGGCTGAGTGGGATGGCCGGCTGTTTAAGTTCTATACGGGATGTAGATATTTTTTTTTTCTAAGGAGGATCGGTAAAGATATCGGATTTTCTGCGCGGGATAAAACAAGGCGAAGATTTTCCTGTTGTGGGCTGATCCGGTGGGGGAGGATTTGATCCAAGTGGGCGGCTTGATAGATGGTGGTGATGGTATTGGTAGTTCGAGGGAGTGAATGGCGTGATAAGAGTAAAGAAAATAGGTAGAAGAAGGGAAAATTTTTTTTAGATGAGGGTCTAGAAAAAAAAAAAAAAAACGGCTTCAGTCTGTAACAACACGTGGGGCTCTTTTATCTTTATTTTTTTTCTTCTTTCCCCCCTGCGTTCAGATTATGACGTTAGATGATCAGGAAATTGATAAGATGATCAGGGAGTGGTGACGCTGATAGATAAGTTTCGCAATGAGAACCAGATTAAGCAGCAGCCTGTCTCTTAAACCTGACGATCGGTACTTTTGAAGGAGCAATCAGACTCAGGGGGGCACAAACAAAGACTAGGCCTGAGGAATTGATGGTCGATGATCGACAAACCTGGGCTGTATTCGTGATCGCCTGGTCAGCCTTGATATGTCCATCATCCTGGTACCTCTGGGGGTAGGGTAGTAACTATAATATAGTAGGTAGTATTCAAGAGGTAAACGCAACACTATACTCCTCAACGTCCAATTGACGGATAATTTTAATTTGGGCATGCCGATAAATACCCGGCTCGTATCAAATCCGTATCTCCACCAACCCCATGCGGGGATTGGCTGTGGAATGCTTGAGAATGCAGGTACCGTACTGTATCGATTGATACTAGCCGGAGAAGCCTCGGCATCAGCCCCAACCCGCCACGTGATCTCATGTGACTGCCCTGGGAATGGATCCCCAGCGCTAATCCTCTTCCGGCAATCCCCCCACTACTCCACTATTGTGTGCGATAGAGAATTCAGCATATGATTGTCGATCGCAGATGAAGAATCCTGGTTCGAATGACAATTCTGCACCACCTGATCCTCCGTGAATAGGGGGCGCGACGACGACTCAAATGGCGGACGCAGATGACTTCGAAACGGGGGACCTATTCAAGGACCCCGAGGGCTTCTACGAGCCTGAGAAGGAGCCCACCTTCGCCGAGCACCACATGCTCTCCGGCCAAACGGTGCGCGTGCGCTTAGTTGGAGACCATCCTCTATATGTACGGCCGTCCCCTCTCTTCCGTCTTTCACAAGCCACCAACTGACACTTAGCAAGGGTAACCTCCTCTGGAACGCCGGCCGAACAAGCTCCCACTACATCGAAGAACGTGCACACGAGCTCATCGCCGGCAAAGATGTGCTCGAGATCGGCGCCGCCGCCGGCGTCCCCAGCATCATCGCCGCGGTTATGGGCGCCCGCACGTCCGTGATGACCGACTACCCGGATCCCGATCTCGTCGGCAATATGCGCTACAATGCGGAGATCTCCGCGCCGTTGATCCCCAAGAACTCGTCCCTCCACGTTGACGGATACAAGTGGGGGAACCCAGTGGAACCTTTGCTGACGTACCTGCCGGCTGGGTCGACGGGTTTCGATGTCCTGATCATGGCGGATGTGGTTTACAGTTGGCGGGAGCACGGCAATTTGATCAAGACGATGCAGATGGCGCTGAAGAAGTCGCCCGATTCTGTCGCCTTGGTGATCTTCACCCCGTATGAGCCGTGGTTTCTGCCCAGGACGGAGACGTTCTTCCCGTTGGCGGAGCAGAATGGGTTCCGTGTGACGAAGATCTTTGAGAAGCTTATGGATGCGGTCCTGTTTGAGAATGATCCTGGTGTAAGTGCATTCTTGGCTTGTGGGCTTGGTGGTAGCTTTTGCTGACTTTACTGCAGGATGAGAAGCTTAGGAGGACTGTTTTTGGATACGAGATTAGATGGGCCGACGATCAGCTCAAATAGACGATGCATAGACTAGATACCATGGCGTTGGTTGGTGAAAAAAGCATTGGAAGGTTTCACAATGCATGAAGTGACGAATCACGAAAATGGTGCAGATGACCGACTTATTTGGAATATAATAAGTCGTTGATGTGCAAGAATAAAAGTCTTGATTATCTTATACTCTATAAATACTCATAGCTTCTACAAGCCGAGCCGCTATTATTTATAAGTGCTAGAGGGACCATGTCTTTGATACTGAATGTAGACGCTCGAGAAAGACTTTAATAAGCAGGACGAGGCTTGGCAATGATATATACTTATTTTATGCAGAGGTAAAGACGCACATTGGCTGCGGAGCGGTCTATGTTCAATTTGGATTTGGATATCAGATATATCCATATGATTGCCCTCCGCTCCACACAGAACAAGAAAGAGACCAAGAAAGAACGAAAAGGAGAAAGGCTACCTGAGTGAGGAAAAAACGGGCCATTTCTACCTTCTCTCAACTGTTATTCACCCCCTTGAGAGCTACAAAGCCAGGCTGAAGCCTACCAAGCAGAGACAGGGTTGTCTCAACTCAGGGTTGCCGTGTCAAGACGTCTTATCCTGGAGAAGAAGATTATGCAAAGCCTGCAATTGACCTGACTTCACAAGCCCTACCCGCAAGCTGTTAACCACAAGTTTCCGAGGTCAATGAGCTACATCGTGAACCGGGGCCCTATACTATAACTGCCTATTTGGGCATAGTACATAATATACCTCAGGCAGTGATATAGAGTATCACGTTTTGATTGACCCTGGAATGATCCATTGGCCAAATTCATCGTCTATAACGGATGTCTCTTTTTATCAGCCGTTCTAATCTCTGTACTGACTGAGCGCGAAGGAACTTCCGACTGGGTCTAGGTCCAGCAGGAGATAATGAGATTGATCTACAAACTCTATGGGGGATGACGCTCACATATCTCGACTCACAAACATTCGTTGCTCTGTTGCATGGAAGTCTACCTCAGCTGTTGGAAAGAAGAGAAGAGTAATTTACTAGACGCGTTATGCGCTCTATCATACAGTGTCGATGAATATTCGAATCTGTGTACGACTGCTATCAAATTGGTCAACATTGAGATTGTGCCATTATCGCTCTTGAAGCTTTGGGGGCAATGCTATGATCCATGCAAGTTACATTTTTGAGCTTTTAACGAATAGAGAGGCCCGGCTGATATGAACAGTTGCCTAGGTGTTACTGTTGAAGGATACCCTAATTGTGCACCGGAAAATGGCTGTTGAAACGATCATGAGATTGTACAGGCGTTTGAGGGAGAAAGCCATTCAATGTAAGGTCCTGGACAAGCTTTCTAAGTGGTTCTCATAATCATTATCCCACCATAGCCTCAGCCCGTTTGCGACACCTTCATCGTACCACCTGAGCTTAGCCTACTAACCGTATGCAACAGAAACCTGGGGACGTTATTGATTGGACTATCACTCAAAGACTTACATCCAAGCATTCATTTGTTTGAGCTGACAACAAATTAAGTGTCAAACGCCATCCTAGTACGTTATTTATAACAATGGCTGATGTTCATGGTTTTCAACAAAGGCCTGGGAGCACAAGCCGCTCTATATCTTGCAGTTCCGAACATCTCATCCCACGCTCATTCCTTCATGACAGGATAATCTGAGGAGTTCTCATGACTTGAGGCAATTGCGAAAACTTTTATTAAGCTAAGCAGAAGACTGGTTACTGGTATCTGGGGCGACACCCTATATCCACCGTATCATCTAGATCGCTATGAATCGTGAGGTATTGTTGATTCTATTCTACGTAGTATTGTTTTCATTGATTGATTCACCTGACATACTCGACTACCTAGGGGAGCATCGTGGGTTCAATCCCAGCGGGATGTTTCCTGCCTTTAGCTTTGCTGCGGATACTGCGACTTCGCAAAGCGCATCCGCAGGTGGCATCCTCATGTTTATATTCCAGCAAACTGGTAGGTACTCCGTGGTTCCCTCAAGGAAATCGTGCTTAACAATTGACCAGATGATCGCATACACTTTGGCCTTCCTTAAATTCATTGCTTTAGCATTTGCGGTTTCTAAGCAATCTTCCACAGACAAATCCCTCTTGTTTATTGTTTGTGCGTTCAGTAGTAGATTTGCAGCAGCATGCTTGCTTGTTGCGCTAGTCCCACTGGAGCACTCCAGGACAGTTCGCCCATCATTTCTAATTTCATTCTACCTTCTGACAGACTTGATGTTCAATGTGGCACCTATCGGCAGCCCTTGGCCAGCTGACTCCAGCCTGGAGGTGAAGCGTTTTCTGTCCGCTTCAATGGGGGTGGAATTGATTTTGCTTACTTTAGAAACAGTCGAGAAGCGGAGGTGTCTTTTGAGATACCAGGATGTTGTTTCCCGGGAGGGTACCAGTGGCCCTTTCAGCCGTCTTCTGTTTCTGTGGCTTAATCGTCTTCTTAAAGCTGGCTATGGGAATATGTTAACCTCAGACCGCGTACTACCACCTGTACACGAGGGATTAGGATCGAGATTGCTCTCCGAGAATTTTGCTGTTGCGTGGGACAATAGTATGTTCTACGCCCTTGCACGGAGTATTAAATAGCTGAGAGTCTGACCAATGCAGGTGACCATGATCATAGGTTCGCTTTGTTCCTTGCACTCATCAAGTGTATACGGTGGGAGATTGCTAAAGTAGCAGTTCCCCGGCTATGTCTATTGATATTCAATATGGCACAGCCATTTCTGCTCAGCCGGGCGGTGGTATACTTCGGGTCAACAGACTCAGGTCTGTCTCAAAACACCGGAGACCTGATACGTGACTTTATCATCGTTCTTATCGGGACCGCAGTAAGTTGCTCCATGCTTCGGGCGACCTTGTTCAGCTTCTGAACTGACGGTACCTTTCGCAGATCTCAACTGCAACTTACGAGCACTTGGGTTATCGCGCCATGGCAATGCTCCGTTCTGGGACGACTGCCCTTATATACCGTACAATGATGTGGTTGCGTATAGACAATGCTCGCACATTCGACGCAATTTCCTTGGTAGGTTCAGACATTCACTCAGTTGCAGAGTTCTTCCGCCGTACGATTTGCGATACTTGGGCAAATGCCTTACAGCTGGGCCTGGCTATTTGGCTTTTAGCAGACCAAATTGGAGCTATCTGCATCGCCCCTATCATTGTTACTATAAGTACGCTATTCTTACTACATTTACATTGCAGCATAACTGACCTTAGCGCGATTAGTATTTACCTCCATATCCTTATACATAGAAGGCTCAGTATCGCATCATCAGAAACTATGGCTCGAAGCCTCTCAAAAGCGCGTTGACTTTACCACAAAAGTGTTAGAGTCTGTTAAGTCGATAAAGATGCTCGGACTTATAGAAGGCATGGTCCATATGATTGAAGAACTTCGTACAGAAGAGATTGAGATTTCAAAGAGATTTCAGAAAATCCAAGCAGCCAAGGCGTTCTTTGGTAGGTCCTATTCAACACGCAAGATCTGGCCTAAGCTAACATTATGTTAAGTTAATATGCTGCCGATAGTGGGTCAATTATCTGCTTTTGCTGCATGTGCTATCGTCGCTAGATTGGAAGGGTCTAGTGCTTTTTCAGTATCACAAGCCATCACTTCCTTGTCCCTAATAAACCTGTTGCTCACTCCCCTTCGTGATTTGCTATTTGCTATCCCCGACACTTTTCTTTCTATTGAATGTCTTGACCGAGTCCAGAATTTCTTGACTCACGAACCTCAAAATGACAAGAGAATGATCGGAATGACATCTTCCGGACTAACAACATCAACGCAGTCATCGGTTCCCCTACCGATAGATCCAGAAAATGCCTCGCCGAGACTGAGAACTGCAGTTCTAGAACTGGATAATGTTATGTTTGGGACCGGGCCGGACCAATCAAAACATATTGGGAGGCTGACGCTGAGACTTTCAACACCCTCACTCACTATGATAGTAGGCCCCATGGGCTGTGGCAAATCGATGTTGTTAAAGACCCTCCTTGGTGAGATTGAGCCAGTTGAAGGTGACATCTTCATCAGTGACCCGGATGTTGCGTACTGCGACCAGTCACCGTGGATTTTCAATAGCTCTATCAAGGAAAATATTATAGGAGAATCCCACTTTTACGATGGAGAGTGGTATCGTTCGATAATCAACGCATGTTGCCTGGATAAAGATTTGCGGGAAATGCCCGCAGGCCATGACACATTGATTGGCAGTCAGGGTACCAGGCTCAGTCGTGGGCAAATGCAAAGAATAGTAGGGAGACCATATTGCTGGATGATTTATGCTGATTATATTGCAGGCCATCGCTCGCGCAGTCTATGCACGAAAGCCCTTGGCAATTTTTGATGATGTCCTAAGCGGCTTTGACCCAGTCACTGAGCGGAAAGTGTTTGACCGCGTCTTCAGTGAAAGGGGCATTCTCCGGCGGATTGGTTGTATTGTTTTACTCGCTTCTCGTAGTGGTGAGCTCACCTGATCCTTGAGGGTTCTCTGTCCTGTGCCGGGCTTTCTGACCATTACTTAGTACATAACCTGCCCGAAACTGATTTTGTTATCGCATTGGGCGCAGATGGCCTTGAAATGGGCACTTTCCGGGAGCTTCGGTCTGCTAGGGGGTACATCTCAAAGTTAGATCTTTCAAAAGGGCCCCAAAATAGCTGCGAAGAAAGCATTGAAACGGACAAAACAACTATGAAAAGAAAGACGAAACGAAGCGGTGCATACATCGAAGACCAAAACCGAGAGATAAATGACCTAGCGATCTGCAAATACTATGCAGCAGCTATTGGGTGGCCAAAGATGGCTCTTTTACTCGGAATTCTCACTATGGAATCACTCTTTGGTGTTTTGCGGTGTAGGTTGCCCCTTAGTCCTTGTTCTCAGTGCCAGACTTGATGACTGGTATTCCTAGATGTCTGGGTCCCTCTGTGGTCCGAAATAGAAGACGGCATATCAAACTCGAGACTAGGGTTTTGGCTCGGAATATATGCCTCAATTGGTTTTACTGAGGCAGCTGGGTTGATACTAGCGATAGTGTAGGTGCTCAGATGCGCGGTTGACGTGCTTCAGCTTTGACTAATCTAGCGACTGATTTTCTTTGAAGTTGGATGTGGATTGTGATTCTGCAGGCTACGTCGAAGACCCTCCACGGGGTTATTTTACAAGCAGTCGCGATGTGAGTAACCAACCTGGCTGTGTTTTAATTCAGCCTGACATGGGCATAGGACTCCGATATCCTTTCTTTCTCATATTGAGACGGGCGATCTTGTGAAAAGGTTAGCAGCGTGCTAGAAAGTCAAGACCCCGTGGATACTAATGATGATCTGGCCAGATTTAGTGAGGACATAGAATTGATTGATAAGGATCTCCCATGTGCCGTTATCTTGTCAGGCTTTCGTGAGTTTTGAGCAACATCTATTTGGTTGAGTCAACGGTTTTGACTTATGCCTACTTAGAGCTTTTCGCAGCCATCGCTCAAGCGGGCGTCGCGATAGCAGCCGTGCCTTATCTCGCTGTGACAATGCCCTTTCTACTTGTCATACTGATCTTCATTCACCATGTGTTTTCTCGGACATCGCGCCAATTACGCCTGCTCAAGTTAGTTCTGCCACGGCTAGCTCTGAAGAACTCGCTAAGCTGACGGATGGGCAGGACCAAAACCGAGGTTTCCCTAGTCTCGCATTTCATAGACTCTTTCGATGGCCTCATTACGATCCGTAGTTTTGGATGGACTCCATCAATGAGCGAGACGACGTACTATTTGCTCGACACAGCGCAGCGGCCGTACTATCACCTTATATGCATTCAGCGGTGGCTTGTGCTTGCCATCAACTTGATTGTAGCCGCATTGGTTGTGCTGTTGATGGGGCTGGCGATTACGCTCGAGCTACAGGTCGACCCTGGATTGCTTGGTGCTGGATTGCTAATGATGACGATGCTTGGGCAGAGCCTTTCAGGTCTCATCCTGAGATGGACTTCTACCGCGCCATCACTTGAGGCCATCGCACGGATCAAGCATTTTGTTGAGGATACACCGAACGAATTGAAGCACAGCTATGCTATAGATACCGAATACGATTGGCCAGCACTAGGAGCCATCGAATTCAAAGACGTATGCGTCAGGCAAGAGTCCACATTCAATCTGGCACTACGAAACATCACGTTCACTCTTCAACCTGGACAGAAGCTGGGACTATGTGGACGAACTGGAGGGCAAGTACTATTCCTGATCGCTTGTGAACCATGTGTATGTAGATCTAATTCGGTTCCAGCGGCAAAAGCTCACTCACTCTCGCCCTACTTGGGATGGTTGAAGTGACATCCGGCCAAATCCTCATCGACAGCCAAGACATCTCAACATTGCCACCATCTCTGGTCCGCAAAAGGATAAACTACCTAACCCGGGAGCCTTTCTTGATTCCCGCTTCTGTTAGACAAAATCTGGACCCACTTGGTGACAAATGCGATGGCGAAATCATTATCGCACTTGAGCGTGCCAAACTCTGGGGGGTTCTGGTAGAGATATCTCTCACGACCAATTTTCCGGACTGCAACCCTCTGGATATTATCGTCGACGACAGCTTTCTATCGTATGGTCAGCGGCAGCTTCTGTGCCTTGCACGGATCCTGCTGAAGGAGAGTACGATATTGCTCCTGGATGAGCCTCCTAGCAAGTAAGTGTATCTGGAACTGTTCATGTAGGCCATTGTGCTAATAGTATCTCTGTGTTTAGTCTGGATCCCGAACTAGATTCAGAGATCCAGGATGTCCTCCAATCGGAGTTCAGCTCTTGCACAATCATCATGATCGCCGATAAACTTCAGGCAATCCTGGACTTTGACTACGTGGCTGTGATTGACGAAGGTCAACTCGTAGAATTGGGGAACCCGCGGACTTTATTGTCGGAGGACCAAAGTACTTTTCGGGAATTGTACTTGGCCGAAACACGTCGATCAAGAAAGACAAGGAGGGTCGTCTGATTCAGTGGATGTTGTGTATACCGAGAGGACCTTGGACCTGTGACCGTGGATATGTCGGTATCTACACTTGGATTAAACCAAATTTGCTAGCTAGTACCTATTTGGAACCGTGCATTTCCAGTCTGTATAACGAGGTAATTGTGTCAGCGTTGGTCAGCACCTGTACCTAATTGCCTTGACATTTTAGGACCAGCAGGATATGACCCAATCAGCTTCTTTCGAGAGACACTGGCAAGCTCATAATATCATGCACCGAACCAGACCCTTGACGGAGCCACCGAAAGCTTATCAGCTCTAACTCCACTGCAGCTGGCATACTTGTTACTGGGCTTCTTACCTTGGCTATGTTCCGGCCAACCGGAGTATATACAAGGTAACCAGCCAACCGTGACGTAGCAGTAGAAAAACAGCATACATAACCTTATCACCAAATATCATAATATACGACCTAGATGTATATATATAACCACTCCCAAGCCCCATCTTATCCACAGATTCCACATACAAAAACCAACACAAAGCATCCCACCTCCGAACTTACATCCAAATAAAACACCCCCAGTGAAGGATAGATCCAAAATGCTCCACCTCAAACTCACCGTCCCCAAACCCATCAACGACTCCGTCATCGAATCCCTAACCGCCCATTTGAAGGAAATTGACGAGGACTTCCACCTCACGTGCGTCGACCAGCGATTCGCGGAGGCGTTCTACGATTGTCCCGATTCCAGCGAGGCCGAATTCGACGTGGTGCGCGCGGATATCCAACAATTGCTGAAGGATCCGGACCCCGTGATTCGTGGATATACGATTGATCATCGGTGGTAGCCGGAGTTAGTTAGATGAGATTATGGGGCTGGGGCTTTTAGCCTTTTATTCGGTGTTGAGAAGAATTTGCTATTTGTTAGACTAGTAGTTGTGATTTGGTTTCTGGCCTGGTTTATGCTTTATGTTGATGTTATTGCTATCGCGATGCAGTTGGTCTACAGTGTTAGTATTATCTGTGCAAAGGGCGTTAAATAAATAGAGTAACTGGATTTTGGTCGGGTCGATCAGGGCTCGTATCTCGTCAGATTTTTAATGAGACCCCGCTATGACCCTGGCTAGCTCTGAGCTAAGCGCTGTCACCGACAGATCGTTAACAAGTTATCCTCCGAGATTCTAGGCCATCTGTACGAACACACTGTTCTGTTGACCAGTTAGATCTATTTCTAGGGTTCGACCATGCTTATCAACCAATTATACTTGTTCTATGTACTATAAAGCTCTGGATTATCGACTAGTCCAGTTCCGAGACATTTGCCGCCTTTTTTGCTGCCCTAAAAAGTCGTTTTGAGACTACCAGTTCTACATCTTTAGGTCTGTAGGGGCCACCAGCACAATATCGTATAGGGATCTGAATACTAGATCTTTAGACTCCCTGGGGCCCTAGTATAATACTAAGTAGTAGTCCGGAGGGAAGTAGTGATATTTAGGGATAGTAAGACACTAAACTATTTGTAGGCAGGAGGAAATAGTTTCAGGAAGTGCGTGGCTTTATGTACAACGAAAAGATTTCGGCAAGAAATCCTCTATTGTCCGGGACAACGACTTAGTCTCCGTCGTACTACCAGGACAAGGCCAGAAGATCATTTTCAAACGAGGGGCCAAAAAAGTCGCTCAGCAAATCCAACGAGGGGGCTTAGAACTCTTGGCGCCGTATCCTGGTCAGGGGTAATTGGCTTGAGGATGAGGGCGCTAAAGTCGACTCCGCCGACTCCTTCGTTTCCATGCGTTTTGACTTTCTTGGATCTCTGGGTTTGTGGTGTTTACTTTTTGATATACTATCAAGATCGGTCAACTCACCCGTACCACCACCAACGGAAATTCTCATATAGAATTACAATATACATACAATACATACAGGGAATCCAAGAACCAGACCAAATGAATCTCCTTATCCTCCTCCTCTTCTCCATCCTCCCCACCCACGCCCAAAACGCAACATGCTACTTCCTCGACGGCAGCGTCGCAGCCTCAGACGTGCCCTGCACCTCCGACGCGACCACCAACTGCTGCAACAAGAACGACATCTGCATGTCCAACGGCCTGTGCTATCTGCAGGGTTCGCACGGCATGGCGCTCTCCCGGGGAAGCTGTACGGATAAATCGTGGGGGGCGCGGTGTTTTGCGCCGTGTTGTATGTTTCTTTCTTTCTTCTTTCTTCGATATTCTCCGTGATATATCCATATACCCCCAAGTCTAGTCTATCTATCCTAGTCTAGCCCAGGTTTCTTGGGTGGGACGGGGGGGGGGGGGGGGGGTCGTTAGTAAAACAGTAATAA